CACGATCGCTCTTCTCCGATTTGTTTTCGTCTGTTTTCTTGCTCTTTACACAACGGTTCCGATACTGCTATATATACGACACAGCGACTAAAAAAATCTTTTATACATAGACGCGCGTTATTCGATGTTGCGTCGCATCTATTTACAAACTCTCATCCTCGAGTCCACCGGCGACGCTGCCCGTCCCTCCCTCTCTCCGACGCGGAGAGCCGCCGGCCGAAACTATCCGTCACCTCCGACGACAACTCGCAGAGATCATTCTTTGGATGCATTCCGCACAATCCTACGAATCGGTGAATTCGTGCCGAAAATCAAGAAACGAATCGACTCCCGGCGAAATGACTATTCTTTTTCATCATTTTTCCGCTGTCCGCCGCCAGAACAGTTGGCGGCGGTGAACACTTCGATAGAGAACCTTCCAGAAACGATGGAAGATTACCGATTAGGGAGCGATCGTTTCAGATGGCACTGTCAAATTTTAACGAAACTCCGTGCACACGTTCGTCGAAACGTCTACAAACTGGCGTCGACGCCACACCATATAGATACAAGTGTAACCGATTTATAATTTTCCGATATTTATATTTTCCTGCCCGGGACGATTCGCTAGAAATTAGCTAGAAACCACGGAAAGGTATTTTAAAGGTATTCTGAACATTTGTACAATTTCCACGTTACTTCTGCTACACGATACTTATATTACACATGGTATATTCGAGAACAATTGAAATACCATTAAAATATTTTCAAGTAGTTCGTACTATAAATAAAATATTCAATAAATTAACCGTTCAACGAAACATATCCAAGCTTCTTCTTTTTCTCGAACAGCTTGCTCGCGATCGTTCGCAGGTTGAATATCGTGCGACAATTATAAACCGTTACTCCCTACGATTGTACACGTTCTGCATCCATGACGCGTGATCAATGCGGCGATCGAGCTCGATTAAAATCTAATAGTACACCTGAAACGATTCCCTTGCGAGAGCCGCGTGTATAAAACTTGCAGCGAATATTTGCTACGAACACACATAGGTTTTGGTAGCTTCTGTCCACGTACTTTTTTTCTTCTTCTTTTTGTTTACCAGCTATCGTTAGCTGCAGCATCCATAATGCATGGCACATTCATTCCTTACACAGCACATTTCCTTTCTCGCTCTCCGTTTTCTTCCTACCGCCGTTCTCTCTCTCTCTCTCTCCGCTCGTGTGACAGTCATGCACCATAATTACAGACGCGCATCACCAACCATACGATTCTCCTTCTGGGAATATAATCTCTATGGTATAATAGCATATATTTATGAAGGCAAACACACTCTCACCGTATGTCATATATCAAATAGTTAATATTTTATCCCCTAGAATTGTTTTTATCGTTTTATCGCCCCGGAAAAGTTGCTGGCGGCTAATTATATTAAGTGTTAAAATGCTTATCAGTGAGTAATGTATAACAGTGTGACTTTGCGTTCTCCTCGCCTTCACGTTTTCGATATACGCGTGTGTACACAGCTAAATATTAAATAGCTTCTATACCATCCGAAATAGAAAAAAGAAAAAAAAAA